CAATCTTGCCAAGGACGGAGGTGGGGCTACTTAACTGTAAGAGCGCAGCATAAATTTATAGTGGAGAAAGTTAGATGCGAAGTGAGACTTTCTCCAGCAGCATTCAGCAATTCTAAAGCATTTTTGGAGGTATTGAGTCAGCTTGGTGTGGCAAGGTTGTAATTCGAGGCGCTGGCTGCGTTTAAGTGTAGGAGGTGCCATGAGTCAGGTTGGTGTGCCAAGCTTGTGGTTGGGGCACTTGCTGCAATCAAGCATAGGAGGTGCCATGATGTCTACTTGAGAGGAGAGGGTGGAATTGTAGAAAGAGATTACAGAGCTAGGGCAATCTCCTTCTACAATTAATGTTTAAATTATAATCCTATTTAGATAAAAAATCCCCTTATATCTATCTAAGTAGGAGAGATAGTAGATGTAGGCACAGAAGCAGACTGCTTTTCTGAAGTGTTGCATAATCTGCAAAGTACAAATTCTAACTATTCTGCTGTTGTATAAAGTGTTGCAATATTTGCAAAGTTGTTTCTACAAGATTAAACTATATTATTAAATGTTGCACAGACGTTCCAGATAAAACAAGTTATACGATTATGATACAATGTTAGATTTAGTATTAACTTTGCAGGTTATGCAAGACTTCTATAAAGAGCAGTCTGTTTCTGTGTCCCTATCTACCATATCTCCTGCTTGGATATAAAGGGATTGTTATTACATCTGTTTTTAATTTTGTGTGTCACAAGTCACATATCACTTCAATTTCTGTGTATTTATCACAAATGTATTTTTTCTTTCATTTTTGGTTTGATGATTTTAGCTGCTACTCAATAAAAGTGCTTTTTAAAAAAAAATTAAGACCTTGTTTGATGCTCTGACTCCTCTTCGGGACTTTAATTGATCTGCTTTAACTCTTTGTATACAGTGTTTCAAACGGAATCGCTGCACATACAGATCCCAGATAGAATGTAAACACAGTGAATTGACTGGAATACCTCAGTAAAAATATCTTAAAACATTTTCATCAATGTTACCATAACCTTTAGGTTTCCACAATTAATATTGCTTTATATCATCTGGAATGCATGGAGTCACTGGACAAAGGGATTCATTCCCTAAATCAGGGCTGTCCAACCTGCGGCCCCCCAGATGTTGCTGAACTACAACTCCCATGATTCCCTGGCTATCTGTTTCATTGAAAGAACCATGGGAGTTGTAGTTCAGCAATGTCTGGGGGGCCGCAGGTTGGACAGCCCTGCCCTAGATAGTGAAATCTGGCTAACTAACCACCAAACTGCAAAATTTAGTGTGAAATCG